GAGAGAGAGAGAGAGAGAGAGAGAGAGAGAGTTTTACCAATTAAAAATGCATATTTCAGGTACATTTATGAATATTATCCACAGTAGTGGTGTGGAAAATGGCGGGGGTGTGTACATGCAAGAGGATTGGATGGGGGTGTGGGTGGGGTTGGGGGGCTCATGAGACGAAGGGGTGACATTTCCAGCAAATTGTACAGATAAAGTATTGTACGTCTCAGAATATTCCCGATCCCACACCCGCACATCAAACACACACACAGAGAGAGAGAGAGAGAGAGAGAGAGAGAGAGAGAGAGTATGGTGTTTGAAAGGGTCTTGCTGTCCATCTATTTTTCCTTTGAAAATGTTCTTCTTTTTTAAAAATTTAGTTCAACAAAACGCTTGTCCTCATTAATTCAACACTTGAAAGCAAAAATTAAGACAAATAGTCAATAATATGCTGAAGCACAAGAAATGAGTATTTTCAGTTTGTTGATAGACAAACAAACAGAGTAGTAAACATACTGACGTCAAGCATCTTCGCGTCAAGATAACCTTGTGCAAATTATGAGTGTGCTCTCGATACCGAGGTAATCGACTACTCTCGTGGCGCGAAAAGTCGAACAAAGATGTGGGCGATAACCGAACACACACACAATATATAAACGTGGCCCTCATCCTCTTTCGGTACACTGGTCTTCCCCCGCCAGCTGAGCGAGGGATCGAAAGCTTGTCCAGCCAGAGGCAAAGGAAGCTAGCTGGTAAACACAGCTTCATAAAACTGTATATCCAATACAAGAGTTCAGATAGTAAGAGTTGAAAGTTATCAACAAAATTCTCTGAAACTGAACACGGCGCGCTGACTTTGCAGCAAGAAGGATTTGCTCCGCTTACGAAGATCTACTAGTCTAGATATCTGCGTTTTGGTGGACGGTAGACAAGTCGAAAAAGGAAAGAGCCTTTTGAGCTTTGGATGATGGCAATGGAGAAACTGTTGGGCAGCTTTTTGTTGCTGTTGGCGGCTGTTATTCTGCCCTCATCTGCTTCCCCATTGCTTGGTGGAAATGGGACAAGGGTAAGCATTTATTGGTGTTGCTGTAGTGTTGTCCATAATTGATGTTGTTGTTACTTTGTTGTTATTTATTATTATTTTCGTGATAACCTTCTGTTTAATCCCTCTATAAGTCTCTCTTCTAATCTCTTTCTCTCTCTCTCTCTCTCTCTCTCTCTCTCTCTCTCTCTCTTTCTCTCTCTCTCTCTCTCTCATCTCTCTGCTCTCTCTCTCACACACACGCACACACACAGGCACACACGCACACACGCACACACGCACACACTCATACAAACATACACAAACACACACATACAAACATACACACACTC